ACCTAAACACGTCACTGTCATGTGACCCAGCAATTGCACTCCTGGGCATTTATCCCAGAGAAATGAAAACTTATACTCACCCAAAAACCTGTATATGAATGCTCATAGCAAGATTGCTGTTCATAGCGAGAAATAACAGGTTTCCTTCAGTGGGTAAATGAGTAAACCAGCATCTATGCTGTGAGAGACTGCTCAGGAATGAAAGGGACCAGCTCTTGATACATGAACCAGCTTGGATGAATGGCAAGAGAGTTATACTGAGTGAAGCAGCCAATCCCCAAAGGTTACCTGCTGTATGATTTCACTTGTAGAACATTCTTTAAATGACAAAACTGTCAAGATGGAGAACGTATGAGAGGCTGCCTTGGGTGGAGGAGGAGCTGCAGCAGGTAGGAGGTGAGCATGGGTGGACAGGGACAACAGGAGGGATCCCTGTGGTGACACAGCGTTCTGTGTCTTGGCTACCGGTGTCCCTATCCTGGTCCTCAAGCTGGGGGAAACCAAGTAACAGGTACTTGACATTTCCATGTTATTTCTCACAATAACTTACGAATATGCAGTGATCTCAAAAACAAAGTTTAATATTTTACATATAGGGCCTTTGGGATAAACTGAAGACTTTTATAGGTAAATGGAGGCAACCCAAGACCATCCATACTTGTAAGTGAAATACATCAGATTCGCATGTGTAAACATCGTATCGTCTCCCTAGTGTGAGAAGCCGAAAGAGTAAGTAAGATCCAAAATGTACAATAGACATCGTAAAAGGAGAAGAAACATCAAAAGGAAAGAGAAACTGGGATGGGGGAAAAGGAGAAAAGAAAGGAAAAGCAAAAAGTAAATATATACAACATAATGAAGATCGTTATACTACTAATTTCTCTTAGTACATTGGGAAGAAAGGTTTGTGCTAATATTGTTTGGACAATGAAACGCATAAATTTTGTGCTCTGAGTAACTAATTTAAAGATAACACTACTCAATGTATTAACCATTGTTACTCTCCTATTACCTTACTGTGAAATTTTGGTTTTTTTCTGTTTATCTTTACGATAAAATTTAAAAGTAAGTAAATAAATATAGGGCCCCTTGGTGCACCTCAGTAGTAGAGCTTGTGCTTAGCATGAGCAAGGCCCTAGGTCTGATCCCCAGGACGCACCCCCCCCCCAGAAATGGAGGCGCACCCTATGTAATGTGTGTGTGGGTGCACGCACAAAGAAAAATGTGGGAAGATACACAGCCAACTTAGCAAGTCTGCAGGAGAACAAATCTGAAAAGAGAGATTATTTACTTCTTTTCAACCTTTTATTATTTGACTTGTTCCAACAGGCAGGTGTGACTTGCTGATGTTGTTCAGATCCACGTAGTAGCAATAAAAATGGGGAGCGGTGAAGAGGAGCTCCACCTGCTCCACCGATTTTTGTGGGAGATGCGTACTCTGTATCTTTACAGACTTTTCAAATCTGTGGTGTGGGAGCCACGGGTGAGGAGAGGTGTGGGGCTTCGGCCTCTGTGAGCTCACCGCCCCTGGCCACCTTGAGACCAGGAATCCCTGGCACTTTTCCTCTTGCTCACAAACACCCATGGGTCGCCACTGACCCCACTGCTCCTGAAAGGTCAAGGACAGGTGACAGAGAGGATGGGCAACTGGGTCCTGCAGCCACAGACCTCTCCTGAGCCATCACCATGAGCCAAGAATCATCCTAGCACAAAAAAAAAAAAAAAATCATCCTAGCACCTTTCAGTTATTTTATACCATTCTCCTGATACCCTGGGCGATGAGGGCTATGGTTATACAGATGAGGAGACCGGGGGTTTAACTCTGTTTTGCATGTACTTCTGAGACCTTCACATTTTCTCTACCATCCCTGACCAAGCCCAGCACACTCACCGTTAGTCCTCAAGGTTGGGTGGCCTTCAAGAAACAGGGTTGTTCCCAAGGCCCTCACCTAACTCTTTGGCATCAGCAGCTAGGAGAGCCCAGCAGAGGGAAAGCTAGCTTGTTGGTGGCCTGGTGCAAGAGCAGCAGGCCCCGGCTTGTTAAGGATGCCTCTGTGTTAGAAGCACCAAGAGACAAGTGTTGTCTAGAACACAGCCTGGTTCCAGCACGGTGCTCCTTACTGACCATGAGGTCAAGCTGAGCTGTTGGAGCCTAGCTGGACACTGGGCAGAAGAGGTGGGAAAGTACTCAGTTGGAAATGCCCCCAGGACAAGCTTCACAAGGGTATGGAGGAGAGCTCCTTGTTCTTCAAGAATCAAGAAGCTAACCCAATGTTATGGTTGGTGTCTGGGTGTCCCCCACAAAAACACACACACACACAGGGCAGGCACCTAGAGTTTTGGATTGACGGATATGAGTGCTACACCTGCCCTGGGGCGCATTGTTCGCATACAATGTAAGGGAGGGAAGAGGCTGCTTGCCACCCCTCCTTCTTTTTGCTCTTGTGGCTTTTGCTACCTTCCGCAGCCATGAATGGTTGCCCCCTGCCATGTGCCACCCTGCCTTGGAGCCAGCCAAGTATGGACTGAAACCTCCACAAACTGTGAGCTAAGTAAACCTTTCCTTCCTTAATTTGGGGCATCAGGTATTTTGTCTCAGCAATGAGAGAAGAGTAACTAAGACACCCAGGTATGAGGGGCTGGCTGCATGGGTAAGGCATGACAGTGACACCTTGTGCGTCCCCCTCCTCAGTGTCCAGTTCTGTGGAAGGCATCCCAGGCTGCAAAGCAGCAGGTAACTGAGAGAGCTAGAGAAGATTCTGGAAGGGAGAACTGGCCTGCCCAGTTACTAAACAACCCAAGGTTCCTGCCTGTGAACAGTGGGGAGGAAAAAAACAGGCAAGAGACATTCCCAGCCCTTCTGGGATATTCTCTTGCTCCATTTTCTCTACCTTGAGTGACAGTGAGGGGATTAGCATCTGAACCAACTGTGTAGATTCAGTGCCTGCTCAGAGAGATTCGCTGTACTATGTGTTTGAAAAAGACGGAATAACACAGATGGACTGACTCCTAACCCCACCCCTGCCTGTGTCAGTCTTGCTTCTCTGCCTGGAAGGCCCTCTTTACCCTGTGTCTTAGTTACTTTTCTCTCATTGCTGGGACAAAATACACAACACCCAAAGTTAAAGAGGGAAAGGTTTATTTAGCTCACACCTTGTAGAGGTTTCAGTGCATACTCAGCTGGCTCCAAGGCAGGGTGGCACGTGGCAGAGGGCAACTGTTCATGGCAGTGGAAGACAGCAAAAGCAACAAGAGAGACAGAGAGGAACAGACAGACAGAGATCCTTTCTGTCCCTTATATTGTATGCAGGCTACCTTCCCTAGGGCAGATGTAACACTCACACCCTTAATCCAAACATCGGACCATGAATCAATCACTAACTCTAGATTCAGCCACCCGGGGTGGGGATAGAGCTCAGCAGCATACGTGCCTGCCTGGCAAGTGCAAGGTCCTGAGTTCAATTCCCGGTGTCAAAAAGAGCCAAAACTGTTAGATTCAACCACCTCCATAAAGCCTGTCCCCACCATGACTGCATGAGGCTTTGGGGGCACATCCAGGCACAAACCAAACACCCTATTTTCCATGGACGAATTCTTTGCCATTTTTCAGGATGAAGCTTTGGTATCTCCTTGGGTGTGAGGACGCCACATGCTCCCTCCCCGGGGAAGTGCTGCATGGCACCTCTTGTCCTGGCAGTTGTTGACAGTGAGCCCTTTTACTCTTGTGGGTATCCAGACTGGGAACATAAAAGATGTGGTCTCCTTTGATGCCTCCTTTTGTCACCAGTGCACTGAAGGTTCTTTCGTGCAGTTGGGTAGAAATCACAAACTGGCAACGTGCAGCTACCGTGATGTTAGCATCTACCTTGAAATTGGCTTGGAGTGCCAGTGACTCTTAGCTCGTTGTATTACAAGCTCTTAGCAGCTTTTAACCAGCCCATCAGCTCCTCAGCACCCAGGCTCGTAACCCCCTTGGTGGTTTTCTGGAGTCTTTTGGCAGCTTTCTCTTCCTCCGTGGGGCTCTTTACAGGTCACTGCAGATCTCTGGCAGTCACCGTAGGTCTCTTGTCTCTTCTCCACCCACTCCAGCCGTCTCCACTGCTCTCCACTGCTGTGCCACTCCAGTGTACCAAGCTGTTCTTAGTGCAACCCACTCAGCACACTGTGCTTGAGATGAAAACTACAAGTAGGCAGTGCAGAGGGGTAGTGCACGGGAGGAAGCCCGTCCGGACAGGTCTGAGGAGTGTGAGGAGTGCTGCTTCTATAGAGGAGGAGCAGGCCTGTATTTGCACAGTCTCCTCCAATTCGCAGGGCTATTTGGGGGTGACAAAGTAGCGTCATCTGGAGCTTCCAAGGCAGAGATAGCAGAGTGCTGGTGGAATCGTCTGGATGGGCCCTTCTCAGAAGCCTGTTGCAGCCAAGGGAAGCATCTTCTGGAGCAGCTGTGCAGCACCTGGGACAGCCAGTACTGTCACGGTGACAGCGCTGCTAAGTGTGGGAGAAACGACTGCTTGATTGATGACTGACAACTCCCGTGTTTTTGTGGAAATGGGGGTGGGGGTTGAAGTCGCAACTGGCGCTGCTCAAGGAGTGTCCAGGAGCGCCAGCTGCGTCCACCAGGGCCCACTAGGGCTTGGGGATCTTGAGAATATCAGCCATGGCCCCAGTCCTTCCTGTTTCCAAGCTGCTCGGCCACCCTGGGGAAGGCAAGGAGAAGCAAAGGGGAGGGGCATGACAGCTGTCAATCAGGTCCTACCCACTTTGGCTATCAGAGGGTAAAGGGAAGAAGGGTCAGGGAACAATCTCGTTCCCACTGTGCCTGCTTTCTGTGTGTGCCTGTGCTCCCACCAGACTGGCATTGCCAGAGCCACCTTCCTCCTCGCTGTCCCCAAGCCTGACACAGAGCTTTACGCACGCCCGCACAGTGGCTGTGCCCGGCGTGAATGGGCGCCCTAACCCTCAGAACGTTTACAGTGTTCTTTTACTCTCCTTCCCTCCAGGGATCTATAAAGGGCACTGCTTCCGGATCAATCACTTCCCAGAGGACAATGATTACGACCACGACAGCTCAGAGTATCTCCTGCGTGAGTGTTGAGAGTCCTTTGTGCACATGGCAGGGGGGAGTGGGTGGCGAGAAGGGGCCCTGTGACAGGGTGTAGTCACGCTGCTTGTCTCTGCAAGCTGAGGATGCGCCCTCCCTTCCAGAAACTGTGAGTTCCGAGGGTGAAGTTTTGTGCTGCCCTGGCAGTGGGGTATTCCCGTGAAGTTCTTTACTTGCAAGTCTAGGCTCTGGGGAGACTGAGGCCTGGGCAGAGGGGATACAGCTCCCCAGGGCTGATGGGTTTGGGGCAGCTCCCAAGAGAGCTGATTGGCTGGACCTGGTGCTGGGGAAGCGAGATTTAAAAGTCTCTGCTAAGGCCACCCACCCCTGAGGGGACAGTCTTCCCATGCATATTGTGCCCTGCCAGGGTGAGACCAGCCCCCCTCTCCTTGTACCTCCCCAGAATTCTGTTCTTGAAAAACCTAATTAATTTGCAACCGGAGTCAGCTTCATGGGGTGCTGGGCAGCCTGAGCGAGGTGCAGAAGGTGGCAGAGTGGACTCTAGGTGAGCCCGCGGGTCCTTCACGCACCAACCGGAGGATCCAGCACCTCTGCCTGTGGCTTTCCTGCATCCCCGCCCCACAGGCCCTAGGGCTGAGCAGAGGCCCCAGCCTGGAGCCCAGCTATCACAGCGCATGTTGAACCCTAGAGAACAAATCTAGCCCCACGCCCTGAATGCAGATCACATTCCTGGAGCAATAGGTGCCTCCCTGGGAAGGAGGGAGGAGCTGCAGCCCAGGAGGAGCCTGGGAATAGAAAAGCCAGCAGCATTTCTGTGTCATTGTCTCCTTTCACATGAGCCAAAAGGCACAAAGAGTTGCTCACCACAGCACCCTGGGGCTTGGGGCCGGCTTCCTTCACGGAGGATCGATACCAGTGGAACACAGTTCATTCTGCACCTGCTTATGGACCTGTTTTTTTTTTTTTTCCTAAGAGAAAGAATTTGGATTCTGAGTCATCTGGTGAGAGAGAATAGCGTGCCGTTCCCATGGCACCAAGGCCATGTCAGGCTGCTCCAGCCAAACCCAGGACCTGAAATAATTCGGCCAGAGCTCTGCCCCCACCTGTCCTCTCTCATCTGCTCCCTCTGACTCTCCTTCTGAGGGCCCCACACTGAACCAGGCAACTGGAATTCTCAGAGGGCTGCCACGGATAGTTGTGTAGGTTGCACACTGCAGAACCTGAAGCATGTCACCTGCGTAGACGGTGGTATGAATGACATCCTTCAGGTTCTGCAGAGCAGGGGAGGTGTGAAGACAGGCTGTGGAGCAGGAACTGAGGCGCTTAGGAAGAGAGGCAGCCTCTTCACCCCCAGCCTAGGGGAAGGGAGCTAGGGGAATAACCCCGTGAGCAATACTCTCCTCCAAAAGCCTGTCTGGAACCCGGATGCTTTGGTCCACGCAGTCAGCCTCCGGAGACCCAGGGCAGGATGGGGAAGGATGGAGTGAGGGTCTGCAGGCGCACACAAAGAAGGTGTCCATCCAGCTTCAGCCCTGCACTAGGGGCGCTCGAACTCCACGCCCGCAGTGTCCCCCGGGAGGATTTGAAGGCTGGGACTACCGCAGGGTGATGGTGTCCAATAAAGTGATGGTAGCCGTGATGAGCAAGCAAGGCTCATTTGCGACACACCAAGTGCATTCACAAGCCCAGGAACCCACAGAGCAGACGGGGCGATGGCTCTCAGGTCTGCAGTCTCCAGCGGATGGTGGGTGTGGGAACAGGAAGCAGAGCCGATGTCGTGTCCCAACAGGGAGGTGGCTGCAAAGACAGGGATATTTGGCCTGAAAACTGAGCTCTGCTTTTGTCTTTGATCCGCCTTTCCCTTCAGAGAGCCGGTGAGCTCGGAGGCAGAGCGGGCGGGCAACTTGCTGAGACAGCTCAAGGTCATAGTCCCCCCGGCCACCTGGCCTGCATCCCCCGGGTCACCCTGTCCCCCATATCTGGCCTTCTGGTCTCTGTTCACACTGCTGACTTCCAGAGTATGAAGCAGCACGGGAGAAAGGTCTCATGGGGCTGACAGTTGCAGGCGGTGAGGGTTCATCATCGTGGGCCTACTGCGTGCCAGGGACGCAGAGCTCTGCCCTGCTGCTGGACAGCAGGGCTGTGGCGAGAGCCCTGTGGCAGAGGCGTCTGCTGGCAGCCTGCTACAGGGGCTGCTCGGCTGTCCAGGTGTGGAGCACCAGCAGGGCCAAGTCCACATGCTCACATTCTGCCTCGGACAATTCAGGGAGAAACACAGCCCTGAGCCATGCGTTCTGAGGCCTTCTGGAGAAGCCGGGCTTACCTTCTAAGTCATGTCATTGTCACAGGACCCCTGAAGGCCTCAGCTCTCGCAGTGTCCCCGCTGGTGTATACATCCTCAGCACAGGATCTGAGGGAGTCACTAGTCCACCTGTCGGTCCTCTTTCCCATGGCCCCCGCTAGCTCTGAGGTTTCCCGGAGCCACCCCCTCGGTCCTGCACTTCCAGTCAGGTGGGTCGTTCAGTGCTGAGCCACGGAGTGCTGGTGTTAGGGCAGCTGGAGTCGATGGTGTGCCAGAATGTGTTGGAAGGTGGTGTCCAGCCTCCAGGTAGACACACGCCATCACCGCTGCTTGATTTGGCCAACTAGAGGCAGGCTGGGCCCAGCCTCCCTCATGCCTCAGTCACGTGATCTTCGAGACACTTGACCTGCACCAGTGTCCACGCCAGTGCCGACTGCCTTCCACACATCCAGACCAAGTCTCTGTGGCAAGGCACGGGTGCTTGCAGGACTTACCTGGTAGGATGGATGGATGGCTCTGAGCCGGGCCTGGGCCTCAGGTGAGCTCGAAGCAGCTGGGCTCCCCTCTCCCCAGCTGCTCTGACCTATCTGCAGGACAAGGGCACCGGGGAAGGGTCCTGGCCGACTCTAGCCAGCGCAGCTTAGAAGCACGTTTCCGAAGCCCATCAGAAGCCTAATCCCGGTGCCTGCGGCTGCAGGAGGGCAGGAGAGGAATTGGGAGAAGGCAGTGGCGCAGAGAAGAGGTTCATTTAATGCCCCAGACAATCCCTCATCTATGAGGAGGGTGCACACAAGTGGGCGTGCAAAACAGAGACAAACGCAGCCTTCAGAAGCTGGGAGGCCCCAAGCCAGTCACTGGCCCAGGAGGGGCATGTGCCTGCACTCCATGACTCACTGTCCCCTCCCGGGTCCACGAAGGCCCCCGTGCCAGATTTCTACAGGAGACACACAAGCGTGGGAGAAGCTGAGTGACGGGCTGCTCGTGTCCCTCTCCCCTCCTGCCCGACACAAAGGCGGGGACCCTCAAGCCCCCCTGTGTGCTCTGTGTTTTCTCACACTGACTCCCTGAGGCGGGCGTTCATTTCCTAGGGCTACCCTAGCAAATGATCACAAATTCATGTGGGCTAACGCAGTGGAAATTGACCCTCTCATGTTGTGACAAAGTCAAGGTGTCAGTAGGAGCCGGCGCCCTCTGCCGGCTCCAGGAGTGGCCCTTCCTCTGGTGGCACTGACACTTCCTGGCCACATCACTCTACTCTGCCTCTGTCTTCTCCTCTCTGTGTGTCCTCTGTGGGTAAGAGTTGCATTTTCTCTTAGAAGCACATTTGTCACTGAGCTTAAGGACCACCTGATTCATCCAGCATGCTCACATCTGGAGATCCTTAATTACATCTGCAAAGGCCTTTTCTCCAGTAAGATCACATCTACAGCTCCTGGGCATTAGCACCCTCACATATTGGGGGGTGTGGGGTCCACCCTTAGAGGTTGGTATCATTACCATATCCTGGGTATGAAAGAGTAGATTCGGGGGGGCCCTGAAGCTGTCTGCCCCAGACCCCCTGCTGGTCAGTGGCAGAACAAGGGAGTGGGTCTGCCAGACACCCCGATCCACAAGCTTCTCCCTGTGCCTACCTGCCACCTCTGTGACCTCGTGCACATTGTGAGTTTCCACGTCCTCCTCTGTTGCTGGGATAATGACGACGGTGGCCGAGAGGAGGAACATGAGAAATAGCGTTTAGGAAGCACATACTATGGCCAGGCCCCATGCGACAAGCACCTTCCATGTACAAAACCAACTATGGGACATTGGAACTGTAGCACCCCACCCCATTCACAGTTTCATTCTGTGAGGTTTCAGCCAGCTGAGGTTCAGAAATATGAAACAGTATCTGGGCGTAGTGGTGCATACCTGGAATGCCAGCACTCTGGGAAACGAAGGCAGGAGAATCGCAAGTTCAAGCCGAGCCTGGGCAACTTAGCAAGACTCTATCTCAAAATTTTAAAAAGGCTGGGAGTAAAGCTCAATGTGATGTCCCTCGATTCAATTATTCAATTATTCTGGAGGGGTCCCAGAAATAAATTATTCACAAGTTTTCTTTGTTGTTGTTTTTTAGAGACAGGGTCTCGCTTTATAATCCAGGCTGGCTTGAGCTTACTGTGTAGCCCAGGCTGGCCTCGAACTCGTGGTAATCCTGCCTCAGCCTCCCCAGTGCTGGGGTTACAGGCGTGCACCAACACACCCGGCTCATGATTCACATGTTTTAAGTAATTTTATTATAATATATCTGTATAATTGTTCTATTATTGATTGTTGCCAATCTCTGACTGCACCTAATTTGTAAACTCCATCACAGATATGTACATATAGAAAAACACACAGTATAAAGTAATGCCTCAGCTCATGAACACTTCTGTTTGCCAACAATTTCGTTCGCAAACACAAGCTTGTTCAGTAGAATTTTGCTTCCGTTCACAATCTCCGCATCAGGGGACAAGCACACCACGGCCATCTCCCCACACAAACACAAACGCAGCCACGTTCCCCCAACTCATAAAACAAACTAAGCTCGCAAACCGAGGTACCGCAGTGTACAGGGTTCAGGACTCTCTGTGGTCTCAGGCATCCACTGGGGGTCTTGGACTGTGCCCTGCAGATATATTATGAGCCATGGAGAAAGTGGAGTTGTAGAAAGTGGCTTGACCAAAGCCACGCTGCCAGCACATCACGGAGCAGGGTCAACAGCCTGTCTCACCTCCTGTACTGAAGCCTTGCCTCCAGCCCTCCACCTGGGCTTCCTCCAGCGAACGCCACTTCCCAGGTTCCCGAAGGCTGCAGAGACCGTGTCCAGGAAAGGCCGCCGCAGGCTGTGAGCTGTTAACGTGAATCTGACGCAGCCCAAGGTTTCCTTGGCTGTTACTGTAGCCTCCCCAACGCCCCTGAGGGACTCTGCTCCCTCCCAGTTGACAGAAGTGTGACCTACGCTCAGCGAGAGGCTGAGCAAGACGCGGGCAGATGTGACTCGGCCCCGCCATGTCCCGGAGAGTAAACTGCAGGCCCAGAGCCATCACTGGGAGCCGGTGCAGCTGCCTCGGCCTGCCCGGCCTTCTGACCCTGGGGGGTCAGGTCCTGATGGGAATCTCCATCTCCTGGGGGGAGGACCTCGAGCTGCAGAGCTCCCGGGAGATGTCTATGGCTGTGGCCAGGGAGGGCGGCCGGTCTCACTGCCCTCTCCGCTCTGTCCTTCCCCGGCCCAGGCATTGTGCGAGCGTCCAGCGTCTTCCCCATTCTCAGCACCATCCTGCTGCTGCTCGGAGGGCTGTGCATCGGCGCCGGGAGGATCTACAGCCGCAAGAACAACATCGTCCTCAGTGCCGGCATCCTCTTTGTGGCCGCAGGTGAGCCGCCCGCCCAGGCGCCCCGCCCCAGCCAGTGCCGGCAGAGGAGCCGCGGACACGGAGGAGCATGTGCACACGTGGTCTCCACTGCCGGGGCGTGTGCATTCTGGCAGGAAGCCAAACTACAGTTGCCACGACGTGTCACTAACTTTAAAAGTCCCGTCGGGGGGAGCTTGGGGAGACCACTGCCTGCCGAGGTTTCCTTTTGGGCTGACGGTGTCCTTGAACTAGATGGAGATGCTGGTTGCACCCATCGTGAATGTACTAAAGGCCGCTGAGTTGTACGCTTCCAAAAGGTTAACTTTATGTTATACGCATTTTACCTCATCTAAAGAAAAGTAGGTGTGCAGTGTATGACCAAGGCCAGGTGCTGGGTGCTTTCTGAGCCTGCAGTGGGGGGCCTGGCGGAGGTGAGGGTCAGGGAGGTACCCGGGGAAGCCAAGACCCAAAGAAACTGGCCTGGTGCACACAGGGTGAGGGCCCGGCATGGATGCGAGTGGCCTTTGAGTGGAAGAATCAGCGTGACTGTCTCCGTAGCGCCGACACCGTATTAGGTGTTATAAGTTATGCAGGGAGGTCTTACAGCACACAGGGGGATGTGAGCAGGTCATGTAAACACCACACCATTTTATAGAAAGGTCTATAGCATCTGCAGCATTCGGTATCTGCAAGGGGGTCCTGCGGATACCAAGGGACGACTGTACTTAGAAGAATTAGTTCCCAAGTCAAGAACGCTCAGCAAGGAGGGCAGGGCCACCCCGCCTCTGGCCTCCTGTCCCCGTCCTGTTGTTCCAGCCGTGGCTCTAACCCCTGCCTCTCTCCCTCCCCAACCCCTCCGCCTGCCCCCTTTCCAGGCCTTAGCAACATCATAGGCATCATCGTCTACATTTCCAGCAACACAGGCGACCCCAGCGACAAGCGAGACGAGGACAAAAAGAACCACTACAACTATGGCTGGTCTTTTTACTTCGGAGCCCTGTCGTTTATTGTGGCGGAGACCGTGGGCGTCCTGGCTGTAAACATTTACATTGAGAAAAATAAAGAGTTGAGGTTTAAGACCAAACGGGAGTTCCTTAAGGCTTCTTCCTCTTCTCCTTACGCCAGGATGCCGAGCTACAGATACCGGCGACGGCGCTCCAGGTCTAGCTCGAGGTCCACCGAGGCCTCGCCCTCCAGGGACGCATCTCCTGTGGGCCTGAAGATCGCCGGGGCCATCCCCATGGGCGAGCTGTCCATGTACACGCTATCCAGGGAGCCCCTCAAGGTGACTACAGCCGCCAGCTACAGCCCGGACCAGGAGGCCGGCTTCCTCCAGGTGCACGACTTCTTCCAGCCGGACCTGAAGGAAGGCTTCCACGTGACCATGCTGAACCGGCGGACAACCCCCGTGTGAGCTGCCTGCTCTCCTCTCAGCACCGGCCTCCCCCCAGCACTGCTGTTCATGTCACGCAGGAGGGTACGTGGTCCTTAAGGCAGACAGACAATGAACTGAAGCGGAATGCAACCCCCGCTGGTCTACAGACGGCGTCATGGGCTGGCTTAGAGTGGAGGAGGCCCAGAGACTGGACCCTAGGCTGCCAGAGAAGCAGAAGGCTGACTTTATCCTCCCCAAAAAGGTGTTTGTCTGCCCTGGGGTTTCCAGAATCTCCAGGAGGTCCAAGAGCTTTCCTGAGGCTACGCGGGGAAACTAAATTGAGCTATTATCTCCTGCTGGAAATAAATCTTGCCAGAAGAATGGGATTTCAGGCCCTTTGCTCCCCACTGGGTCCCGGCCCCCAAAGCCTCCTGGGCACAAGGGGCTCTGGACACTTGTCAGCTGCTTTTGAACCAGAAGTTCCTGTGCCTCTGAGCCAGAAATGAGGATGCCAAACCTCACTCCCTCCTCAACCCTTTCCCTCGCTCTGGCACCCTGGCAGGGGACTGTTGGTGAGAAATCGTCATCCTGAAGAGACCCTCTGCAGCCAGCTGGTGCTTCGGCCCTGCGCTGACCTGGGGCTGGCTCCCTCCACCTGAAGAGACTGTGGCCCGTGGAGGCGCTGCAGAAAGGCTGGGGCTACTGATGGCTTTCCTGTCTGCTTCTGGAAGTTTCTGCCTTACTCAGAATGGGTAGGACACATGGAACCTGAGGGCCTGCAGGATTCCACCGGTTAGAGGGAAGGTAGCTTTGTGCCTTCTTGCTGTGTCCGTCCCCACCGGCCTGAAGTCCTGTCCCTTGTGGGAACACAGGGGCAGGTAGAGGCAGACCCCTAGGCCCCCAGCTGGCATTGGCAACAGAAGCCTGAACCTCTGAGCAAGAAAGGGGGACCCGAGGGAAAACAGCAACCAAAAAACAAAACGGAACAAGCACCCATTTCCTAGGTAGTTGTGAATCGCGACCTGTCTCAGATCAACACCAGGGAAGCAAGTTGTGTTCATTTCATCTTAAAAAGTAGCAGCAACGTGACCCCAAATCCTAGCATTGTGACTTCGTCTGCCACCACCAGCAAGGACGCAGAAGAGGGAGTTTGACTGAAGTGGCCAAGCTGGGCTTTTCTTCCTCCTGAGGAGAGAGAAACCCCAACACTTGGTTCAGAACAGAGCGAGTGAAGTGGGCTCAGTGTTTGGCAGTTTTTCCAGCCATTTTTCCCTCCTTCTGAAGCAAGCAGAGAACACCGAAGCGTGTCCGGGTTCCGAAGCACCCTCTGGAACATGGAACTTACCCTCTTTTCTATAAAACACGTGCTTTCTAAGAAGAAATCGTTTCTTACTTTTGGAGACTTCTTAACCAATCCTCAACAGTCACCTGTGATCCCGGTAGGCGTCACACTTAGATGTGATGAGCAAATTCTTACCTCAGCCACCTGCGCGTGGAGGCCCTGGGCGGACCCGGCCCTGGGAGCCCAGTCCGCGCGGCCGGCTTCCACCCTTCCCCGCCCGCCCGTCACACGCGGGAGAGGACACTCACGTCGCGTCTGCAGCCCAGTGCCCCTGTGTGCCGGTGAGCTGAGAGGCGAGGCGTCCGGGGCCCCTTCGTGCTTGCTCAAAACCCTTCCCTCCCGGTGGGGTTGGCTCTGGGTGGTGATGTGTCTGAGCATGCCTAGCAGTGAACACCGCAGCATGCAGGCGTGTGGCCTGTCCCCCTGCAGGCCACGCCTGGCCTGCCTCCCCACCACCCGCCTCTCCTGCACACCTCCACCTCCACACCGTCATCCCGCCAGGCTGAAGAAGGAACCCGCGTCCAGCAAGGCCCCAGGACTTGTCTCTTCCAAAAGCAAGGCAGCCTGGCGGTTGCTTCTGCACAAGCCACCTCCCACCCGCTGCCCCAGAAGTTTCTGTGGTTCCGTAAAGAAAGCTGTGCTCCAGTGAATCCTACCTCTTGCCCTGTCCCGGGCAGAGAGCGCAGGGCCCACTCCAGGGTCCAAGAAAGAGTAGAAAGAAAGGGAAAACGCAACAAAGTGGGACAGAGGGCGGGGAGCAACACAACCTCAGACGCTCCAGCCTCCACAGCCTTCTCCCCACCACCGTCCCGCTCCAGGGACTCCGGTCTCTGCTCATCTTCCTCCAGCCAGGCTTGCTCGGGCGGAGGGGGCGGAGCCGGCTCCCTGCTGCGGCCGGTCTCAAACCTGGCACCCTCCCGGGAGATGTGTGGCCTGAGCCCGCTTCCCGCCCTCCTCCCGCCCTGCCCTCCCTCCGTGTCTTTCACCAGTTAAGCACCTGTACCCACTATTGGTTTGGGGTTGTTAGTTGTCTTTTTTTTTTTATTAAATAAAAACATTTTTAAAATGTTCTCCTCTTGATGTAGGAAGGTGAGGGAAGAAGAACTTTGCTTGAGTTCTCTTTGTGGGTACTTAGCTTCCCTCCGAGAGAAGTCAGAGGGGGGCTAGGGATTTAGCTCAGCGGCACAGCGCCTGCCTGGCAAGTGTGAGGTCATGAGTTCGATTCCCGGTACCAGAAAAAAAAACAAAAAAAAAAAAGAGAGAAGTCAGAGGCTGAGGGTTGGGGATGGATAGTGTCTGGCCACGGCCGATTCTCTGACGTGAATCTGGATCATTGGTCACTTTCCTAGGACTCTGGCTGATCTTAGACTTCTGGGTGGTGCCATCGAGGTGCATTTTCACAGATGACAAACTACCTCGTGGTGTGGCATGGTGTGGGGACCCAGGCAGAAGAGCGAGCCATTCCCATCCTCAGAACCTGTGAGTGGGAACAGTTAAGCTAAGTCAAGCCATGGAGATGCCAGGTTCCCTGGTGGGGTTTGAGGAAGTCCACTCTCCAGCTTCCTGCCCCAGGAAATTCTGCAGTGAAGAAGTAGAGGAGCCAAATACCAAAATGTGAGCAGTGGCTTGGGTGGAAGACCAAGTAGGCTTCCTTGCTCGGTTACAGGACCAGGACACCCAGTCCCAGGCAAAGCACCTAGCCACTACTGTGCCCTGGAACAGGGAGGAACGAGGTAAGAGATAGACAGAGGGGTCAGACTGGCCACCTTGATGTAGGCGCTACTTGACTTCTGCTGTCAACTGCCAGGGTGGGCCCTGGCTGGCCTTAGAGGTAGGCCCTGGATGGACATCAGCCTTCTCCTTAGGCATGAGGAGTGTGTCCGTTACTTTTCTCTCATTGCTGAGACAAAATTCCCCACACCCAGAGTTAAAGGAGGAAAAGTTTCTTTGGCTCATGGTGTGTGGAGGTTTCATTCCGTAGCTGGCTGGCTCCAAGGCAGAGTGGCACATGGCAGAGGGCATCAAGGAGGAGAAACGGTTCATTGCATGGAGAAGACAGCAAAAGCAAGCAAGGAACGACCACAGCTCTTTCTAGCCCTTATATTTGTTCAGATTACTCAGGGCAGGCAGCGCTCACACCTTTGATCCTAGCATCGCACCATGAATCAATCCCAACATAACCCTCTCCATCCATGACTGCGTGAAGCTTTGGGGGACATCTAGACACAAGCCAGAACGAGGAGGGAGAGATCTTCAGAGACCCCTCTGCCCCAGATCTGTCCATGCTGCAACTCAAGGGACACTTCGTCCAATTCCACCTTCCCCATTTTTTAAGGACTACAACTTTGGGTCTTCCTGAGAGCTATGGGCCTCTCTGGCCCTCCAAGAACCAAAGGAACCAAACTTACGTGCTGCCTTTGAGAACTTTGTTCCCATGCAGGCCTTTGTACCCTCGTCCCAGCAAAGGGTGATGAGCCATGAGGTGTCCCTGTACCCTCACCCTCTTGCCCACGGCATCCTCTCTGCTCCTCTGAACCTTCTGCTCGGGCTAAACCCCCTTCCTTCCTGCCTGTGAAGGGCAGTGGGGAAATGAATGTTTCCAGATGTGCTGAGCTCCAGCTCCTGGGGCCAGGGAGCTCAGACCTTGGTCAGGTCCCACCAACTGCCCCTAGCAAGCCAGGGCCTGATCGTGCAGCCAGCCGGGAGCCAAGGCTGCCAGGAGTTGCTTCCTTGTGCCAGAATTTCTGTGTCCCCTGTTTATTCTTAGCCCTGAAGAAACTCTGGCTCAGCACAAGCCTCACAACCACCCTGAGCAGACTCTCATTCCAGTCTGCATTTAGTGGCTGGCCACTACCTCTCAGTCACATGGTCACGTGTTTGCTTCAGCGAAAAGCTCTGTCTCTGTGTCTTCCAGTTAGGTCTGCAAGAATCCACAGAGAAATCAGTGTCCTAGTTCCTAATGAAAGTACTAGTCGGAACCACCTTTAGCTGTTTGGCCCCATTTTACCCTTCACTCATAGGCTAAGTCCATAACACAAGTATGTAACAGCTTATTACATTAGAAGTTCATTTCTCAGCCAGGCTTGGTGGTGCACCCCTGTAATCCCAGCACTCTGGAGGCTGAGGCAGGAGGATAGCCGCAAGTTCAAGGCCAGCCTGGGCTACAAAGTGAGCTCAAGGCCAGCCTGAACTGCATAGCCAGACCCTGCCTCAAAAAGACAAAAAAAAAAAAAAAGCAGTTCATGTCTCATTCATGAAATGCACTCAGCAGGGCAGGGAGGCAATCCCTGCTCCCCGTGGCCATGAAGATTCAGAGATCCCTGCTGTGGAAGTTGCCCTGGGCATGTACATCTAGTGAGCAGATAAGAACAGCTAGAATAAATGATCTTGTGGGTACAGGTCTTAGTGGGAGATTTTAATGGACCAGAAAGTTGTGACTTCACCTTCTCTGCACATACCATTGGCCACAATCAAATCATGTGACAACATCTAAGAGCAAGGGAAGATGGGAAATGTAGTCCAACCAGGAGGACAAAAATCATCAGGGAAGTACTGGTCAGTCTCAGCCCTTGGTTTCCATACATCCTTCAGCTCCAACATATTGTCTGGCCTTGTCTGTGCTCCAGATGCCCCATTGTGAAATGGGTCCTGCCCAGGTTGGGGGTGCAACCTTGACCAAACAAGAACACAGCATCATTGGACATTGTGACCAGCAGGACAGGCGGTCGCTTTCATCAGTGGATCTGCTCATCACAGAAGGAGAATCAAACCTGAGGGGAAGGTGCATGGTGGGAGAGTAGGGGATGGAAGGAAGAATGAAAGGAAGACAGTACCTTTGGGGGAATTTTCATAGCAACCATGGAAAGAGAGATACTGCTCGCTCAGGGGACATTCACCAATGTCTGGAGATGTGTTAGTTGTCGTAACTTCAAGATGGGAAAAGGCTGAGGAGGCTGCTAAATGCCCCAAAGTAAAGCCCAGATCAGCCCCCACCAACCCCTACAGAATGATCTGTTCCCAGCACCAGTAATGCCGAGGCCAAGAGCCCGAATCAGAGAGCAAGATCACAGCAGGTGCTGGGCACTTGCCTCTAGGCTGTGGGCCCATTAGGAAAATGCCCTGATTTATTCCTAACAATCCTTTCCCCTTCCATGTGTTGAGACTTCTGCCTTTTCCTCTTCACTTTTGAGCTACCAGTTTCAGAAAGAGAACTTGGAGGCTGAGGAAGGAAACTGGCCCATCAGAGCTGAAGGGCAGGGACACTCTCAGAGCCTTTGTCCCTGGCCTTAGGGCCGGGATGCTGATAGAGCACAACAGCCCAGAAGCCTGGTCCAACTCAACAGAGGGATGCACTGCTTCCTGGTGGCCTCCTCCGCCTGCACCCCAGCAGCTGTGGTGAGGGTGGCTGAGGGACGTCACGTCCCAGCTCCTCCAAGAAGGAGACAGTTACCCCGGCTCCATGACTAGCATCAGACTGAATGTTCAAAAGCGTCGATAGCGCTCAAGGAGTGTCCCACAGCGGATTGTTCTAGAACAGCCCTTGGAGGGGATGCTCTGAAAGCCGGACCTGTGGGTTACCTGTGCCCACTGCTCTAGTCTGGGAGAATCCCAGCATCTACCTGCATGGCTGCACCCAGGAGAGGCCTCCCGTTGCCAGTTCCTTGCTGGTGCCCATTTATTTCTCCCA